TTTTAAAACCTTTCAGATAAATGTAATAGAAACATTGTATTTCCCTCTAAGGCACAGGATGTGGCATGGAACAATTTTTGGAGACAAAACGATCAAAATAATTATTTAAAGCTATTAAAATAATCAGAAACATGTTTTTTTTTTCAGTTCACTGCAGTAAAATCCAGATGTTGATTGCAGTGTTACATCTGTGCTCTTGTTGTATAATTCCATTTTTTGAGCCATAAATAAGCAAAATGTTCATCCTTGTTATGATTAGCAGGTGATTGTGCCGCTCTGACTCAGTGGAAGACACTGAACGAGTGTCATATTCAAACCTTTTCCATAAGCATGATCAGTATTTGTTAAGAATAGACCATTTCAAGAAAGTTCTATTTGTCTTGTTCATGAGCTGCCTCACAGACCGTATCTCTTCATGATTGGCATGGCCACAGGTTTCCTGCCTGAAGAGCCCATCTTCAAAGTAATAGCGAACAGCTGCTGCCTGGATAATCCTCATCCTCTGTCTTTGAAGGGTTGCCGTGACATAATGGCCCTGCCTATTCTTCTACTAAATTGTTATGGTATTTCTCAGAGTGTTGTTCAAAAGCAAAAAAAAAAAAGGAAGGGACTGCTTTGCATGTGTTGCTAAATGTTGAATGATTATCACCATCTCACCCTCTGTCCTTTCTCCCCCTTTCCCCTGTCATTCCTCTACATTTTCTTTCTCCCGCCCTGCCTCTTCTCATGCCTGTACTGAAGCAGGAGTTTGAAATGTTAAGTCTGCTGAGGAGAAATCACTGGCAGCATGTGGCGTGAGATTAAGATGTTGTCACACTTTAAAAAGCTGCATTTATTCTGTTCAAAGGGAGGTCTCCAAAGAGTTTGGGAAAAGGGAAGAGGGTGAAGAGCTGATGTCCCTCAGCTGCACTTTTTCTTTGCAACTTATTAATTTATCAGACGTGAGAACACACTATTAGGGCTCAACATTCTTGGCAAATATTCTAATTGCGATTTTTTTTTTTTTACTTCAGTGTTGCGATTGCGATTTAATATGCGTTTATTTTTCAATGTCTTCTTCTCATGTATTTTTCAATGAATAAAAGCAATAAATCTGTTTCAGTTGCAAAAACCTCCACTGTTTTCAGCTCCGCTGCAACTTTGTTTCTGAATTATTTTTTTTATAACTCTGGAATAGCAGCTTGGCTAAAATGTGTGCACGAGGGCATTTTGTACCGCTTATCCACTGTGTTTACCAAAGCTGTAAACCCAGGCTTGGTCACTATATTAATAGGCATCATGTCTTTCACTATGAACTGCTTGAGTAATTTCCACATACCGTTTCAAATTATGTCCATACAGAGTAATACCTTTGAACAGTTCGGTCAGTGATCCCTGTCGACTGGTACTTTACTTCCTTAAAGTTGAAGCACTGGTCGTTGACATTTTAGCCATGCAACTATTGTAAATGGCTTTGTAGTGTTTTTTTTTTAAGTGTTGATAAAGGTTTGTGGTGTTACCTCGAGAGGTAGTAACAGCATCAAGGCAGGTTCTGCACAATACATGTCATTGTGCAGCGTCTTCTTTTTCATAGTAAAAATAATTCCAAACAGATGTGCTGCCCGTCTTCGGTACCAAACTTTCAAATGTGTCAGCTTCTGTCGAGCCTGACGCCATTGTGCAACCGGTTAAAGCGCAGTGTTGACTTCTCTCGCTCCCTGCTCTGCTTTGCTCCGTTCACTCGCAAGTCATGTAACCAAATAACATGACCAGTCAAATTGCAGCCTTTGCGATTAGAAAATCTCGTTTTGGCATATCGCGATATTATTGCAAATGCAATTAATTGTTCAGCCCTACACACTATTGTTTTCTTTACAAACCTTATTGGGTTGTTTTTATTCTTTGTTGTTCGTGACTGCATTTTCCATAGCATTGCAAGCCTCTGCAGTGTGATAATGTGCTACAGAGAGCAAGAAACGACCACAGCCAATGTAGGAAAGAGCAGACAAGGGATTACAGGTACGTGGACGTAAGATTAAAAAAGAAGGACGTAATGATCCCTCTGGGATGGAGGCATGTGCTGAGATGGGCTCTTTTTTCCCTTTTTTCCTCCCTCATTTATGAGTGCCGTTGTGGGGGGGATTGGGTAAATATTGACAGGTTTCTGCTTGAGATGCAGCCATTGATCCAAGCAGGAGGGTCTCATCACTTGATCTGTGCGCTCAGGTGTGGGAGGAGGAAAAAGCCCGAGCCATGGATGAGAGCTGTCATGCTGGTGGTCCCCCTTTGTGCTGCCTTGCTCACCAATGCAACACTAGGCGTCGTGTTACCGAGCGGGTGAAAGTAGATTTTAGGTAGTCTTGGTGTTTCTGGGATCAAAATTGATAAATGATCAGCTAACTCGCTTTGCGTCTGATTCAGTCACGCATTCTTTGAAGTCTCTGCAGAGACCGGCGTCGTCTCTTCCTCGGCTAATGGCATCACCGGACCCCTGTTTGTGTGTTTTTTCTATTTATAAAATCACGGTTTACATCTTCCACTCTGTCTCCTGTTGGCGCGTCGGCCCGGCGGCCTGCTCCACAAACCTCTAATCAGGTAATGTTGGGGAGGTTGAATGGCGTGCCTCCCCCCGGTCAACCTTCACTGCTCACACAGTGGTGTTGTTTTAAAGAGCATTCTTTAGCAGCTGAACTTGGAAAGGTATTAAAGTGGGATTAGGCTCCTCCACAATCCACTGCTTGTGTCATTCAGGGAGTTTGTGTTCTCCTCTCCCCGCTGCCACCTCCCCACTCCTCCTCTGTTTGATTGTGGCTAGCCGCAGGAGTGGGACTGACTGTGCCTTTCAAAGGAGAGGGGTAGGGTTAAATCCCTAGTCCACTGCTCCCTGCTAATTCTCCTTGTTCCTTAGAGAAGGATTTACTTCTGCTGCCAGCTTCTCAAAGGCCTTCTCTGCCCATCCGAAAAGTCGGCGTTGCCTTCCTGTGGAGGTGTGGTTGCCATAGAAGGGGCGTCATGCGTGGCTATTCCCTCTGAACCCCGCTGAGAATGGGGAGCGGGGACAGAAAACAGGCAGAAAGTCCAGATTAGACCTGGGGACAAAGCAGGACAGGAAGATTCCAGAAGGGACGAATGGGAATTACAGCAGCAAAAATAATGCAAAGTGACAGAGAGGGGAAATAGAAAAATAATGGCTTACAAGATTAAACCTGGCGAGAAGAAAGAAGAAAGGAAAAGAGGGCTGAATGAGAATGTTTTCATCTAGATGAGAAGATTTGGGGGGAAGAGAGAGAGAGAGCGGTTGTGGATGAATGCAAAGTCCCGGACACAACGAAACCGTGCTAACAAGTCATTTCCTCAACTTTCTGCTCTTTCTGAGCCTAAGCCGCAGATCATTAGCTAAACATTAGAGTTTGATCTGGGAACTTGTCTTGACAGTTTCATCACCTCGTTCTTCCTTATCCCGGCATGTCACGCTCTAATCCCACTAAAATTGTGACACGAGCTGCGAATTTTCTTTTCCTACCTGCTCAAATTCATCAAATTGATATTTTCTCTTTTCTATCGGCTGCTTTTTTGTTGTTGTTGCTGTTGTTGATGCGCTTTTTAAATGATTGTGTAAAGTTGGTGGTTCGCTTAGAAGACAGATCCAGGTTCACATCACTTCAACAGGAACCCTGCATGCTGGAGAAACATGCCAACTTTTCTTTTTAAAGGGATTATCCTCGAGGTTTTCCATAGTTCAGTAATAATCTTCTTAACTTATCGTAATAAATAAAAGATTAAAGGATTTTTTAAACCCTGAAAGTGCTAGCTATGACATCAGTGTTGTTCCTGCGCTGTATAAATAATATTAAAACAAGATAATAAGATGCACTGCATGTCTTCTGCTGGCAGACAAACGTCATTATTTTTATCATAGTGGATGGATAACCAGTGAATAAACCTATTAATCGTTGTGCCAAAATTAAAATGACATAAATGAAGTCCTCCTTATTTTTGACTTGATGAGTAATTACTTTAGGAAGCTGCAGAGTCAGGAACAAAAAGCACGAGTACAGCTGTCCATACACGTGCACTCACATGTGTGAACACACACGCGCATTATCAAGACTCAATCAGTACCTATAACAACATTTGCATAACAAAAGCACCCTTTGGTTAGCCTGCTCTCATATTTACACATTATATTCATCAGTGTCGTTCATCCCTGTCGTGAACCAGCCGATGATGTCAACTGCTCCTCTCGCTGTCTCCCTCACAATGAAATAGATGTTCATCACAAACAGATAGGCGGTTGCCAGCTGTCTTCCAGGCCAGGGCAAACACAGAAGCCGCTAATAAATCCAGCTTTACGGCCGGACAAGATCAACCGCACTCCCTGCCTCCTTGATCCATTTAATGTGGCTTCTTTCTGAACGACAGAGGACGAATTAAATGCCTCAGTCACCAATAAAACAATGCAAACATCTTCCCCAACCAAAGGACAAAAAAGAAGATGGAGGTGTTGTCAGGGAAATGGCGATAGAGGTGGTGTTTCACCATAGAGGCATGATATTAGACGCAGATTTTAGATATGAGCCATGAATCATTCTCTCTGTTATGATATCTGATGCATATAGAATATATAGAGATGAAGGAGCAATTTTCCAACAAAGGCTTCACTGGTTGTCCAGATTGGAGCTTTTTTTTTTAACATTTGTAAGAGGATTTTGGTCCTGGGCTCACATTGGACTGGTGCAGAGCTTGACCCACCCCAAAATTTTAACAGATGAGTTGTTGCCAAAGGAGTCGCCTCTTTTGCTGCCCGAATGGGTCAACGAGCCAACTTCAACCCCCCCTTGATGGGTTAGCTTCAGCTCCACTGAACTGTGGCAGCAGACAATTAGAGGGGAAAGTAAAGGCTTCTCATCCAACAAAATGCTGAACGTGTCTGGTTTACCGTTTCGAACATCCAACACCCACGTTTGTGTTGCTTTAAAGAGCAGCACTGTTCACAGACCTCCTCTTTTCTGGCTCTGCAGGTTGTTTGCGACCAAATGCAGCGGCTGCATGGAGAAGATCGCCCCGACAGAGTTTGTGATGCGGGCTCTGGAGTGTGTTTATCACCTGAACTGCTTCTGCTGCTGCGTGTGCGATCGCCAGCTCAGAAAGGGCGACGAGTTTGTCCTGAAGGAGGGTCAGCTGCTCTGCAAGATCGACTACGAGAGGGAGAAAGACTTGCTCAGCTCTGTCAGTCCGGATGACTCAGACTCAGGTGAGCCCTCTGCACCCCCTTACACAGGAGTGAGAACAGCACCAGGGCGCTATCATCACATGGCACCGAGGTGTTGCATTCAGTGTGTTCTGTTCCATCGCAGCAGCAGTCAACATAGATGTCCTCCATCAGGAATCTAAAGAAAAACCAACTAATGTCATTTATATGTAAAGAAGCAGGAACATTTAGAAACATTTGCATGAATCCAAAGAAATATAAAACTTCTGCTGCTTTTCAGTGGCTGATTTTAAACACCATTCATTCAATATAGGAGTGTGGCTTTACAGTAGGAAGAGGAAACAGGACGAGGCCAAGCCTGCCTGTATTAATGGCTCTCCATGCGTGGGCAGGATCTGGTGCTGGAAAGAATTAAATTACTGTATCACGATGAGTGACAGAGGGATTTGGGGCCTTTCTGCACTAAGCCTGCGCCTCCACTCTTATCAGCTCCAGCGCTCCTCGCCTATAGGCTGCACACACGACGAGGCATCTCGCCAGCCCTCACTGTTCACTACCATCTGGCTTACATTTAAACATGCACAAAAGCCCGAATTTGTCAAACACATCTGTGCCTGTGTCAACTTTTGTCAACTTGTGGGAATATTTGCTCTGCTTCCCCCCTCCTTGTTTGCTCGTGTCCCAGTGCATCACTCACTCACGTCTTTGCACGTCTCCGAATTTCAAGATGTAGCCAAATGTCGACATGAGCAGAGGGTAACTTTAGCCTGTCGGAGATGAAGCGAAGGTTTGTCAGACCAGAAATGTAGACAAGGATCAGAACCAGATGATGAGCGAGCCTCTGATTTTTTTAGCCGCTCGACCTCAGAATCATTAAGTTTTTTAACAGCAGTGCTGGTTTGGGTTTGGAAACACTTTTGTCCATCTACATTTCAAGCGGCAATTAATTTTTTTCTTTACAAATCAGTTTTTCTGTGCAACTCGGTGGATTTTGTGACAGGTGATACTGAAATGTTCAGCTTTAAGTAGCTTTTTAAAGCATTTCGTCAACTTTTATTGTTATAAAAATATTTTGTATATTTTTTATGGAAGGCTTTTGTCTGTTTCCTGAAAATAAAAGTTAAATTTTTATAACAAGTATCATGTAAGCTTAGAGTGGTGATAAGCCTTAGTCCCTCTGTTCACCACGTTAAGGGCTAAACTGTTACTGGAGCTGCAACCATGAGCGCACAATGCTTTTTTTCCATGTCGCTTATGATCTAGTATTCTTATCAGAAGTTGATTTGGTTTAAATGAGACAAAGCTGAGAGCAATAAATTACTAATGACACTGTGACCAGTTCAGAGACAAATGAACATATTTCGTTGTGCTCGCTGCAGTTTCTGAAAGTCTAATCATACACGAGGCCTTCTCCTTCTGTAATAAATTGATGAGAAAGTATCAAAAACATGTGTCTCCTTTGATTAGGCCAGGGGTCTGCAACCTCCACAGTCAGAAAAGAGCCATATCTGCCTCTTTTCCACTAAATAAAATATGTCAACAGCTGCAAAACTAATTTAAAACCTGAAAGAAAGGTATCACAGCATTTCAAGTGTCATTTAAATACTACATATAGAAATATGTTATTTATTTCAATGAGAAATTCATGATCTATAATAAGTCAATGACTTTTTTCATGTTAGGACTAAGGAAAGGGATTTTTTTTGTTGTTAATACCCGGTTAAAACTCTGAAGTAAGAAAACGTGCAATTTATGTCTATATTTATTAGGGATGCACAATATTATCGGCATAGTATTGGTATCGGCCGATATTAGTGATAAAGTTAAATATCGAACATCGGCCATTCCATGAAAATTACTCTCCGATATAAACAGCTTCTGTTTTAAGTTAATTTTTAATTTAAGAAACTGGCAAGTATATCTATTAATGCACTACTTACGCACTTTCACTTGTTGCTTGTGAACAGATTGAGTTTAGATTTGTGAAAATTTACAAATTTACACTGTTCGGGTGTTGTCATTGTGTTAGAGAGAGTGAACAGCATGAATAAATTTGACATTAAACATAATCCAAGTTGAAGTGTTTCATCATTTTCAGCCCCCTTTGGGCATCTGCATGTGGTATCAGGCCAAACTGACAAAGACCATGCAGAATAATGTTGTTTTTTTAATTCCACAGCAGAAAAAGCTATGCAGTCTCTGTAAGTAGGTCTAGGAAAAAAATTATCGGTATCGGTTATCGGCCAAATAAATTTTAACATATTGGTACATCGGATATAGGCCAAAAATCCAGTATCATGCATCCTTCATATTAATGTTTATTTAAAAAAATAAATAAATTGAAAAACCATTTCATATACTTGCACGATGGATCAGTGGTCAGCACTGTAGCCTCACAGCAAGAAGGTCCTGGGTTCAATCCCTGGTTGGACCTGGGGTCTTTCTTGCATGCTCTTCTCGTGCTCACGTGGGTTTTCTCCAGGTACTCCAGTTTCCTCCCACAGACAAAAACATGCATGTTAGTCTGCCTTCAGGCCCAGGCCTCCCTTGCAAAAGAGATCTGTGGTCTCAATGGGATTTGCCTGGTTAAATAAAAGTTAATAAATAAACTTGTATCCTTATAATTTATTAGAGTGAACATAAAAAATTGACCAGTTTGTTGAATAATGAGGATTTCTTCAAAAAAAATGCAAAACCTTATTTTATTTTAATTTTTAATTTACTTTAATCAAAAGTAGGCTTTTATTTCTAAAACGTAATGATGGCAAAAGGGACTTGACATATATTTTTAATTGATCTTATTTCAATGACTGTGATGTATGTGCAAAACTTCACCTTGTTTTCCACCCAGTAGCCTGGCTCAACTGTGTCAAAATGTTAAAATGTTAAATTTTCTGCTGGACTTTAGAGAACATTCTCATTGTGATGCTGAGGTTAATATTGTTAATAGAAGCAACTAACATAAGGTAATCCTTCTGTTTTTCTCCTTAGTATCATTCTGTCACCAACATTTTATTCACAATCTTGCAAGTTGGACAAGAAAACTGATTAAAAAAAAATCTATTGTGGTTATGATTAAAAATACTAAGCTTTTATGTATTTTTGATCAAAGTCACAGAGAGCTGCTTCAGAGATACCAAACAGCTGCATGTGGCCTGAGCGCTGCAGCTCCAGACCTTTAGATTAGCTATTTGTGCTAAGTAAAAGTCAAGGAGCACAGAGGAAAGAAATATATTTATCAGCATCTTGTCATTGGTTCAAGCTTATGCTGATGATGCCAAAAATGTCTCTTTCTGCAGAGAAAAGTGACGATGAAGAGTTGGATGTAAAACCAGAAAAAGGGATTGGAAACCAGGGGAAGGGTGACGATGGGAAGGATCCAAGGAGACCCAAGAGACCACGAACAATTCTGACCACTCAGCAGAGGCGGGCCTTTAAGGCGTCCTTTGAGGTGTCCTCCAAACCCTGCAGAAAGGTAAAACAGAGCTTAAATAATTAGCTACAACAGTAAGGGTTTGATGTATGTTTTTACTCTTATTTGGAGTATTGGCAGGGTTGAAACTGACCACGAGCCCTACGGTAGTTTGATGAATAAAAGTCTCAAATTAGAAAAAAACCTCTCCCCACCTCTGAGCAGAGCTTTGAAGTGCCAAGCAGCATTCTGTTCTGTGTTAACCCAGGCGGGCTGCTGTAACGCAGTCCGTCTGCACTGAATGTCACACTGAGATAGGAGAGCTGCCTGCGTAGCCAAGGCTTTGAAAAGGCAATAATTAAAAAAAAAAAAGATCCAGAAAGAATGCTGTGCTGATCTGACATACGTTTAAATGCAAGCAAATCAAAGACACAGTGTGACGGCTACAAAACGAGGCACGCAAAGTTCAGTACTTCAGGTACAGTGAAGTTCTATGTCATATAAGCTTCGCCCTTTAAGGCCTTCGCTTTAGTGGGTTTATCCCGTTATGCAGAGCATAAGCACTGAAAAAAATTAGTCCACGCCCACCTGCTGTGTGGGCCCTACCCGGTCCGTATAAATTACGTTAAGAGCGGGAAATCGGCTCCCATTTTTTCTTCAGCGAGCTAATATAGCACTGTCAGAAGAACAAAGAAGATAAGTTGTGTAAATGACCAACCTTGTGAAGGATGCTGGGCCCGGCAGTCGACCTCCGGTCGTCCGGTGAGTTCTCCTCCCCGAGGAGAAGATGACAGCAGTCTTATTCCAAGGTAAGCGTCGTGGAACATTTCCCAGTGACAGGTCACTACACGCTGGACAACGCCATCTTGTGTTTTTTCCTCTTATCGCCGACCCTCGGGGCGAACCGGATGGTTCCTCCGGGGCAAGGTGTGCTCAGCTGCAGCCCCCGCTGCTCATTCCCTCCCGGGGAGCGTAGTGTAGGTGGAGGGGGGCTGAGTGAATGCTCACCCCATCCCACCTCGTTTCGCATCGGCGATCACACCGCTCCCGGCCGACAGCGCCCTCAGGGGTTGCCCGGCGGAACCCGGGAGGAGGCTGACATGAAGGGACCCCTTTTTTCTACGTCCCTCGCCTTTTCCCGCCAGTTCGGATGATCGGCGGAAAGGTTATTTTTCACTGACGTGCTTTTCCAGGCAGCCGCAGTTAGCAACAACGTGCGCTGCTAGCATATAGCATGTCCAAGGGACTGAAGGCCGCAGACCTGCCTTGGAGACAAAGAACTCCTTCTGTAAGGCAACTGACGCTATTCCTCGGTTCCCTCCCCTGGAGCCAAGCCTCGCGGAAGCTTCCGGAGCGAAGCTGTCCAGGTCGGAGCAGCGTCCCGTCCCTCCGGAGGAACCAGACGGCGACCAAAGCTCTCCAATCGAGCCCACCGACGTGTTTTCAGGCAACCGCAGTTAGCAACAACATGCGCTGCTAGCATTTAGCATGTCGAAAAGGCTGAGACCTCAGACCTGCCGGAGGAGACAAAGAGCTCCCTGTGTAGATCGGCAGACGCCATCCTCAACATGTGCGCCGCTCCCTCGGGTTGCCTGTCGAGGATTGTAGCATGGATGACGGTAATCCAACGTTCCATCTGGCTCCGTCACTCTCCATTGCTGCCGGAAAAGCTGCACAAAGACCGGATGGAGGGCCCCATCTCATCGGACGCGCTGTTCGGAAGCAGCTTGACGTCCATGCTGACGAATTCGAAGCAGTCGGAGGAGACGTCGGAAGCTGTACGCCATCTCATCTAGCCGCGCGGCTCATTCCGTCCTCCAGCCCGCTGGAGAGATCGTCAAAAGCAGAGGCAGAAACATCGACGCTCCACGGCAGCAGCAGCTTCGTCTCGCCCAGCTCCACCACCAGCCCCGCCCGCCAGAGACCACCCCTCCTCAGTCCGGCAGCCTGCACTTCAGCGTTTTCCCCAGAGATCGCCTGCAGACGGCGCTCGGGGCAAACAAACCGCAGAGCTCACGAGGGAGAAGGTTTAAGAAATGACGGTCTGCGGAGGATGTGTGTATAAATGACACAGGAATTGAATAAATGATTTTTCAAAGATCAAAATGCCTGTTTTTAGCCAGTCTGTAAGCTCGGATGAGCTCACAGCCGCTACACACACACCCTCCACTCATAAAGAGCCGGTGTCCTTAAATAAAGGTTTTTTAAATCCACCGCCGCTCCTTCACATGCCCAGACGCTCACGTGACACCACGGTAAGCGAAATAACTTGTTGTCAATCAGACCCGCACGATCACCTCCCAACGGTGTTAACGCGCTCCCGAGCGAGACAAGCAGCCTCCATCCAACGGCACTGTGTCGATGATGCACGCACAGCTGCCCGGCGCTCACCGGCCCACATCGGGATAAATGTGGGACCGCAGGCCGGGTCCGGTGGAGGTCCCTGCTCTCAGCGAAAACAACACACGCCTCTCCTGTATGAACGCGAGTGGCTGTCATCCACCGCGTCCCAGCGATCAGCAGCTCACGGCGGCATAAGCGTGAGACAGCTGAATGAATCCAATGACGGGCCCCGCCCTCAGCGAGAGCGGCGCGCGTCCCTCCAGAGGAAACGTGCGCTCCCGCGAGGCTCACAACCTTCACTTCATCAGCTGACACACGCCTCGCCTCAGCACACACCGCCCCGCCCGGACATGAAGGTTGGTCCGCGATCCAGTCACAGCGCGCGGGCGCGCGCAGAACAGCCCTTTCGAGAAAGCCTCGCCTTGGGTCACGCGGAAAACATTTCCGCGACGCATGACGGCGGTCGAGGCGGAGGTTTGGATGACATCCGTTCAAAACACGGCACATCATTTAAACGCACGTCCACTCCACGAACGTCACGCAGAGTGGTTAAAAACATGCTCACCGGACAGATGGATGGACAGAGTGTTATGCAAGGGTTACACGCTGCAGTTTGCAACCCGCCCCCCTCCGTTCGGAGGAGTTATAGAGACGGTCCTGTCATCACCAGACCAAGTCTCAGCCTTAAATGCAGAAATCCAAGAGCTTCTGATAAAAGGTGTAATCTCAAGAGTTCCCAACGAGGAGGAAAACACAGGGTTTTACTCACGCTACTTCCTGGTCCCCAAAAGGACCGGAGGGATGAGACCGATTCTGGATCTGTCAGCTTTCATCAAAGCGATCATGAACAGATTTTTTCACATGTTGATGAACAGACAGCTGTTGGACAACATCCAGGAAAACGACTGGTTTGTCTCCATCGTTTTAAAAGATGCCTATTTTCACACACCAATCATCCCAAAACACAGAAAATTTCTGCGTTTCGCCTTTCAAGGGATGAAGTACCAGTACAACAGGTTGCCTTTTTTGGGTACTCCCTCGCGCCTCGTACGTTCTCAAGTGTGTGGAGACAGCCCTGCATCCACTGCACAAGCAGGGATGAGAGTTTTGTTTTTACCTGGACGATCTGCTGCCCCTGTCTCACTCCAGACAGGAAGCATTGATACAGGCTCAGGTGTTAGCATCACACCTGCTAAATCTGGGTTTCGCCATAACTGGAAGAAGAGCTCGATTTTCCCGGCCCAGATAATTGTTATCTGGGAGTGGAATTAAACTCAATTACCATGACGGCTCGTTTATCACAAACAAGAATCGACACTCTAAAAACCAATTACGCCACGTAAGACCTGGCAAAGTGGTAACAGCTGTCTCCGTCATGAAGCTGTTGGGAATGACGTCATCAGCTCACACAGTGGTCCCGCTGGGTTTGTTACACATGAGACGCCTCCAGAGGTGGTTTACGCGTCTGCGTGTGGATCCAGTAAAACAAAAGAGACGGATGATCACTGTCCCTCCCTCCATGGGAGCAGACCTCCGACACTGGGGAAACACCCTGGCTCTGTCAGAGGGAGTCCCCGTCAGCAGACCCACGTCACGTGTCAGTCTTCACGGACGCGTCTCTGTCAGGTTGGGGTGGGGAACATGCCTATCTCAAGCAGTAGGGGCGCTGTGGCCCCACCGCACATCAGCCCACATCAATGTTTTGGAGTGTCGCACAGTGCTGAATGTGATTCAACATTTTGCTCCCGTGCTACAGAATCAACACGTGTTGATTCACACAGACAACATGGTGACTGCTGCGTACATAAACCGCCAGGGGGGTGTGCGTTCAGCCCAGATGTTACACATTGCGCGGAAGCTACTGAGTTGGGTTCATCAAACCTGCTTTTATTAGAGCAGTTTACATATCCGATGTTCTGAACAGAGGGGCTGATGTGACGTCCAAGGGCGGCCCACGTTATGTGGACCGGATCCTCCATCCGGATCTGATGTTTTTCAGACGCAGCAGAAGTTGGCAAAGCAGCTGTGGACCTGTTTGCGATGCGAGAAGAACGCTCAATGTCAACTACGGTTTTCCCTGAGCCCGCGAGACGATCCATCGCTGGGGGGGGACGCATTTGCTCACAGTCGGTGGCCCAAAACGCTTTTTACGCGTTTCTTTCCCCCCCACCTCCTCTGTTTTTTACGGTCCATGAACCGAGTTCAAGAGGAGGGATTGACAGCCCTCCTTGGTGGCTCCCGGCGTGTGAACGCACTATGGTTCCCAGGCCTGCAACGTCTGTTGTTGGGTCGCCGTGGAACTGTCATGGAGGAAGGATGCTCTCCTTCAGGCAGGAGGAGCGACCAAGAGTTACCCAGAAATAGGTCAACACCGGTGGGTCTGACCGCTGAGCGGTTCCACTTAGAGGATGGGTCTCCCTCAGGAGATAGTGTGCACAATTCAAGATTCACGTGCTGCATCTACCACAGTTCTGTACACATCAAGGGGACGGCTTTTCAGCGCTGGTGCACAGAGAAGGTTTAGAGACCACCTCATGCCTTTTAAGCGGCGTGTTGTTTTTCTACAACAGCTGATGGATAGGGAGTTGGCTTTCAGTACGCTTTAACGTACGATTGCAGCCATCTCTTCCTGCCACAAAGGGTTTGGAGTCAGAACAGCTTTTATCACCCGCTGATGAAGCGGTTTCTAAAAGGTGTACAGAGATGTAGGCCTGTTTTCACGCCCACTTGTTTTCCACAGTGGGTTTAACGCTGGTCCTGCGAGCCCTGATCAAAGCTTCAATTGAGCCTCTGGATCAGGTTTCATTTAAATTCTTGTCTCTTTTAACAGCCCTGTTGCTGGTTTTAACACCCGCTAAGAGGGTAAGTATTTATCTGCCCTCTCTGTTGCTTCGTCATGCCTTAGAATTAGGCTGACGGGCAGCTCAGCTGATTTAAGACCAACCCAGCTTTTATGCCTAAAACATCACGAGCTCTTTTAAATCAAGAGTGATATCGTTGGAGGGGTTTTTTCCCCCCCACAGATCAGAAGAGGAAGCATCTTTTCATCTTCTCTGCCCGGTGCGGGCGTTTGACGTGTTACATAACGCACACAGCTGCAATGCGTTTCAAACTCAACAATGGTTTGTGCATTATAGAGATGTTTCTACAGGTCGCCGTTATCCATCCAGCGCTTATCACACTGGCTGTGTGAGGCCTTTTCTGAAGCCTACAGAGCATCAGATTTAGAGCCTCCTGTCAACCTCTAAGCACACTCGACCAGGGGTATCGCATCTTCGACTGCTCTGCATAATGGTATGTCAATGCAGGACATCTGCACTGCGGCTGCATGGTCAACACCCTGCTCATTTATTCGCTTTTACCTACGTGATGTAACGGCTCGTTCCATGACACATTCTGTCCTTAGTGCTCTAACAGAATGAATGTTATTGTTCTCATGGAACTCTGTTTAAGCTCACTTCTGTCTGCATGCATTACAGTGTGAGATGTTGTTATCAGTCACAAGTCGTGTCTGTGATTTTGGTTATATTGTCACTAATCAGTTCATGATTATTGTTACCAATCAGTTCAATTGATTATAAATCAATTGAACTGATTGGTAACATTAATCATGTTAGGCCTGAACCAGGTTGTTTATGGCCCCCCCCCCCCCTCTTTTCAACTTCTTCTTCCCGTTGAAAGTTTTCCGGGGTATTCATGCTTTGTCAGAACGCATAGCTACACAACATGCGTCTGTGCATGGCACATAATTACGCGATGCGTAGTTATGCACATGGGGAGCTGAGTGACAAGACGTTTTTTGGGCAAGCTTCCGCTTCTTACTGTGTTCGAATGGACCCAGTGAGGCGAGGACCACATCGGCTTCGCCCTTTACCCACTAAAGCGAAGGCCTTAAAGGGCGAAGCTTATATGACATAGAACGTTGGTTACGTACTGTAACCCCAGATTCTATGAATATAAGCGTAGCCCTTTAAGCGTCGGGCCTCACTGGCTCCTAAATGGCTGAAGAAAAAGCTATTTTGGGAGCCGATTTCCCGCTCTTAACGTAATTTATACGGACCGGGTAGGGCCCACACAGCAGGTGGGCGTGGACTAATTTTTTTCAGTGCTTATGCTCTGCATAACGGGATAAACCCACTAAAGCGAAGGCCTTAAAGGGCTACGCTTATATTCATAGAATCTGGGGTTACAGTACGTAACCAACGTTTTATTGCCCGTCACCAAAGACAAAAACCTAAACGTTTGTGTGTGTTTATGTGTTAATTTATCTGCAGCTGTAGCAAATTATTTGGTAAATCACTGGACAGATTTTGTTCAGTCCTTCAGAAAGTAGCCATTGGATGAACTTTTACAGATGTTTAACTTTCAGAGTGAACCCCATTCAAGATGGCCACCACAGCTAATTAACCTTAGCCAACACACACAAATGGTTATAACCTGGTTGCTTTTTTAAGAATTTGAGCTAAAATTGGTGTGGTAGTAGCTGAGAGTCATCCTCAGCGCATGCTTTAAGTGTTACCTAACCATGCAAGATTTTGCAATTTTGCATGAGCTTGCATGGTTCATTCATTCAACCTTTATTTAGACAGGTTAGTCTCATTGAGCCTCGAGGGATCATTTACAAGAAAGACCTTTTAGGTTCGATCAGAATGGCTTTAAATGTATTTTTTCACACACATCTTAGTCCACAACATGAAACACAGCAGGCCATGTGCACTTCTTCAAAGAATGCTAGGCCTTTTCATTTAAGTGTGATTTGTTCTGTGATTCTAAAAAGTTATTTTACGTCTTCAGGTGAGGGAAACATTGGCGGCAGAAACGGGACTCAGTGTTCGAGTGGTCCAAGTGTGGTTTCAGAACCAGAGAGCTAAGGTGAGAACCACTAAAGCAGAATAAATCCTACATTTATGTCCTCAAAAGTAAAAAAACAACAACAGCTTTGTTCCTTTTTAGAGTCCAGCCAATAAATCCCTCCAACTCTGTGTTAAACTTATTGCTGCATTCCTTTCACAAATGCAAAGAACAGAGAAAGGAGTTGCAAATCTAGCTCAATCTTGCATTAAACGTCTACACCCTCCTCTTTACTGATGATTATCTCGTGAAGTATCCTTTGATACTTGACAATGAAGTGTGCACTGATAGAGATTTTGTGCAGTTCACTCAAGGGTGAACGGCGAGGCGCATCCTTTTTAAATTAAAGACTACATGTTAGTTTTGGGAGTTCTTCACAACTTTGACTCCTTCGTTTCAGATGAAGAAGTTGGCAAGAAGACAGCAGCAACAGCAAGAACAACAGAATTCCCAAAGGCTCGGCCAAGGTACGACCCGTGCATAGGCTGTGACAGCTCGTCGTCTCAGGCAGAACACATAAGATTATTTATTGATTTGTGGGGAGGGGGGTAGGGATGAGAAGGAAGAATAAAGTAATTGATTTATTGTGTTGAACTGTGTTTTATCTATTGCTACATGTCAGAAAACATGTCTATAGAAGGTTGTCAAGTTTCTGTCTCAAGAGGTACCAGGGCCGTACGAAAGGCACTTTTTCTGATTGTTTCAGAGTCAAAACATATGAGCTTTAGGTTCATAAACTCTGCTACGCTGTTATCAAATTTATTATCAAAAGTAGCAAATCTCAAAAATGTTAGAGGGCAAACAAGAGCACTTCAGAAGTAAAAAGGAAATTGTGTTTGGAAGACAAATAGATGGAACAACAGACATTGTTTCGTAAAGTCATGGTAAAGGGATGTGTGGGGGGGGGGACTTCAGTGATGAAGCTACAAAAGCTTTGTGCTCCCCTCAACGCTCAGAAAAGAGGAGTGTTTGCCGAGGGAAAACTACTGTAGGTTACCATGGAAATACTGACCCAGAGACGGGCAGGCAGTCCAGGCATTTGAAGGTTGTAGGAGCTTTCTCACAATCATTAAAATCAGCATAAACATGCCACAACTTCTGCTGATTATCATGCCATACCATACTACTTTATTTATAATGCACAACCAAAGTGCTGATCACCATGTGTTTTGTTCTGGGGGGTGGTCTCTGTAAAAGATGAGAGACTTAATTTATTTCTGAATGGGTTTTAATAATACGCTAAGGATATCATAACTGGATGGACATCTGCAAAAGATACATTTTTGGAGTCAACCCTAATTAAGATGACCACCACAGCTTCTCGAGTGCTTATAACTCAATCAGTTATACACATACTGAACAGAAAATGGTGTGGCAGCAGCTGAGAGTCATCCCCAACACGTAGCCTGAGAGCTTAAAGACTGTGTGATTTTCAAGATTTAATCAAAACAACTAAATGGTTTTTCCAAGATAATATGATTGTAGCAGTGGTGTACATTTTTGTAGTGGGTATACCGCGGTAAAGTTAGTTTTACGTTGGACGTTGGACACCGAACATGAATGTCCAACGTAAAACTAACTTTACTGCGGTCAGTCCGTGTACTGTGCTTAGAGACCAAAGTACACTGGTTAATACAACGTAATTGTCAATTTTTTTTTAAAATATTGAACATTTCCAAATTTCTCTGATGCTTATATTTGAATAAATGAACAACAAACTTTGTACGACAGTTGGCTTTGTATTAAAAACGTTATTGAATTTATAAAACAGTATCAGAGCAAAGCATGTTGAAGTATTAAGTACAGAAGTATTGTTATTCAATAATTCACTGGATAAGCAAATGTAATAAACAAAAGCTGCGTACAGACCGATTGTTACAGAAGTGTTTAACTGTTGTTTGACGTATCAATGACACGTGTCTAATGATATGTCACATATCATCGGGCACCTTTAAGTGGGTATACTGAAATTCTTAAGCTTTTCTAGTGGGTATACTCCTTATGCCAAAGTATCACGTAGACTACACCACTGGATTGTAGTTTAAAACTATATTTTTTCAAGGAATGACAGGACTTTTAATTTGATCTGTTTTAAAAACACATTTTCTGTAAGAGATTTTCCGTTTTGCTTTCATGGCCTTGCAGAGGTGATGTCTAACAGGATGGAGGGGATGATGAACTCCTTCACGCCGCTGGCTCCGCCGCAGCAGCAGCTGGTCGCCATGGATCAGAACGGCTACAGCACAGACCCGTTCCAACAGGGGCTCACCCCCCCACAGATGCCGGGGGACCACATGAACCCATATGGTGAGCATCCACCAATTCCCACCCCCATTCGCACACACATGCCTGTCCCTTGATCAACCTCATAGCTCCTGGTGGTGGGACACATGCTCCAGCCGCAGCTCCCTGATTTAAGCTGCTTTCAGAGAGGAACGAGCAGCTTCTCCTCCCACATGAGATAGCACAAGTGTCTTCATAAACGCTTGGGGTTTAAAATGCATTTCCAAATGTGTTTAATATGGTTTTAAACTCCTCGCCTCCACTTCTAAGACATGCCATGTTACTGATGATGTTTCCTAATGTCGGCAAAGAAAAACATGTGGTTGGTGTGGAAAGCTCGAGACAAACTGCGGTCCAAACAGTGTGAGCTAATGTATCAGAACGGGGGAAAACACAAAGCCTCTGGTTTGTGTTTGATACAAGGAATCAAAATGCAAACAAAGAAGAGAAGTGGGGGAATCAGTCAATCAGTTGTAAGTCCACAGGATGTAACTGGAATAACACATTTCTGAGTGATGTCCTCAACATGTCCCAGCGGGACCATTTCCTGAAGTTCATAACTTCCTTATAATTTGCTTCCATTTAGTTCTTCTCAGTCGTAAGAAACCAAATCCCCCGTCTCATCACTCTCCTTTGGTTTGGGGAGCAGAACAATATTGGCAAGGCATTAAAAGATATCTCTCAAAACACTGTCCCCATTTTGTGCAACACTATCATTAAGATCCAGAGTGTAATAAAGTTAACTATTCCCCCCAGAGAAATAAAACATTGAGGTTTTATGAAAGGCGTAAACAGTTGCTATTAACCAGATCTTCTAGGAGGATGCCCCTTGTTTACATGCTCCCTCGCTGCCTGCAATTGTCCCAGCGAGGGCAGCAAAAAGTGAGCTTTGATGATATCCAACAAAACTGTTCTCACAATTGTGATGACACACAAGAGCCATTTCTCAAAGTGACGATTAGTAATTATCATTTTTAAGCCTTGCAATAAATCTCAAATACAAGGCTGCAGTGATTTCATTGTTAAAATGTTGGGTTGCAATTTTTTTTAATTGAGAATGCTTCCTGTCCCGTTTGAACCCTGACTGCTACCTCCTCTTTTTGTATTTTGTTCCAGGTAATGATTCTGCATTCCATGACATAGACAGTGACACGTCTTTAACCAGCCTCAGCGACTGCTTCATGGCATCGTCGGAAGTCAGCTCCATGCAGGCCCGTGTGGGGAACCCAATTGATCGCCTCTACTCCATGCAGAACTCTTACTTTGCATCATGAAAGGAGCGGGACTGAAAGCATCAGCGCAGGAAAGAGAGAAAAAATAAACTACCCATTTCAAACTAAAGCACGACGGTCAGGAGGTTCGACTAAACTATGGACATGACGGAAGAAACACCCACTTTGCAGTAGCTCCCGGCTCTGTGCCGAAGCTTGCTCAAAGACTGTAAAACCACTTGGAGGAGAGAGAAGAATCAAGGGGAGTTAAATATTAGAGATTATTCGGTAGAATTGCATATTCATCATAGGAAGAGATACTCTTTCCTTTGTTTACTTAAAGAAAATGACTAGATTCTGAAGCCACTAATTACACACCCTCAAACCAAATAACACCGTGAGTTTATACAGTGCATGATCAATTGTAAACTAATACTTTTTGTAAGCCCTTCTCCCCCGCCGATCCCCCCTGCCCCCAATTAAGATGTGGTGTTTGGACTGTTTCTTCTTCGCACTACATGGACTTCCATGTTCACTGTTAGCATTTTGATCACTTGCCATAGATTTTAGATTATGTGTTAATAGTAAATAGACGCAGCATGTCTGCAGGAGTGACTGTACATTTGTGTATGAGCATTTGTGATAAACGAGGAATGTCTTAGAAGGACGAGGAAAAGGAGAGAAAAGGTGCAGACATAGGTGGACGAGTAGTGAACTGTAAATATTTCCCCCCCAGGCTAATTGGATGTGCATGTTAAAAATGGAAAGCATTCTATTTATTTAACTATAACAGGCTCTTGAAGGTACATATTAAAAGTGAAAAGCTTTATTTAAAAAAGACCGTTTTGTTTTTGTTGAGCAGTTAGTGACGCAACTCATCTGTATACCATTCTGAATATGAAGATTAACCTTTTTTTGTTTCAGCCAAGCTGTAAATGAGCAAAGTTGCTATTTATTTCGTACAGACCATAAAACTTTTGTTGTCCGATGTGCTTTCTCAAAAAATGTTAAAAGTTGCTAATTGACCAAAGTTGACTGGTTTTGATGAATAAACAATGTCTTTCACCTGATAACATGAAATAAATACCATCAGTGACCATTTACGTGGTAAAACCTCCAGTCAAACTGTTGTCTGTGTCTGAGTGAAGAGCCCCATGGATGATTTTCCATCACACTCATGTCAGAATATTTGTCAGCGCCTCACAAGTCGTATATTAATCTGTTTGACTCAGGCTTGTAGACTCGCAGTCAAACAGATTTACAGCTCGACTATATTTCTTCTTTTCCATCGTTCGAGTTTCTGCAGCGGTTGACCTTAATAACGAAGCACGTTCCTGCTCCCGTGTGTGAGTGTCACAGTGTGTTCTTAAAGGGAATGAGGATACGGACGAGGAAACAGTTGCTGCAGTGAGTGGTGAGGTCAGGAAAGTTCAGGTGACATACCAGTACAGCTGCACAAGCAGAGAACAAACTCCACCCATAACCTTGGGGCTTCTCGGCGGCTGCTTGAAGTACCACCTGGGAGCTTCATCTCTCTCTGACAGTTCTAAGTGTTGTGCGGCGAGCTTCCGCCTAGTGTCTGTGCTGTCACGTGACCACACCGGTACCACAGCATTTATCGTGTTCTCTGTGACTCAATATATTCCTGCGGTTGTAGTCATGGCTAGGCTTACTCATCTTGGCGGCTGGCCCTGAGCCGAAGGTGCAAAGGCGTTGGCGGTGTGAGGTGCATCTAAGGATAGACACTTGT